TGAACAACAAAACCTTCAGGCTGCTCTACAAAGATTTCTTCCTCTAAGTATCCATTCAAGAAGGTAGATTTGACATCCATTTGGTGTATATTCCAGCCCTTTTGAGCAGCAAGAGCCAGCATCATTCTTATGGTATCTAATCTAGCGACTGGGGCAAAAGTCTCAAAGAAATCCACCCCAAACATCTGAGCATATCCTTTAACGACCAGCCTTGCGTTGTGTTTGTTTACAGAACCATCAGGATTGAGTTTGGTTCTATAAACCCACTTGACTCCTATTGTCTTTTTGTGTGTAGGTCTATCCACTAAGATCCAAGTCTGATTTTTCTCAATCATCTCAAGCGCCTCCTTCATTGTAGCCATCCAATTTTGATTTGTTGCAGCCTCTTCATATCATGTAGCGTCTATTACAGCAACATTGCATCTCTAATAGATTGTAAGGACCATGAATTTTGATACTAGTTAAAATAATTTTCTAGTATTTTAAAATATTTAATTATGATTTTTAAAAGAGTATTTATATTTTTCTTGAATTTCTATAATTTTCTATAATTTAAAGTCTAAGTTTTATATTTATTTAAATGATTTAAATATTTATAAATTTATTTAGTATAGTAAAATTTTTTGGAATTTATCCGTTGAGTTACCGGTACTATTACGTATCATTTTAGATAATACATGGTATTATTATTACTATTACATATATTTTTGTATAATACATTGTATTATTAATTACGTATTATTTATATAATTTGTTGTATTATTTCTATTGTTGCTTAGTACCTGTCGTATTAGCACGACTGATATGTTTTATCCCGTAGATAAGTATCATATAATTATTTGATTTTAAATATAAGTAATTATATTTTTTATTAATTATTCTTGTTTAATCGTGTAATTACTTGTATTATTTCTACTGTTGCGTATTATCGGTTGTATTACTACATCTGGTACGTTTTTATGTGTAGATAATTTTCACATAATTATTTAATTTATTTCACAATTATTATTATTTTTAATTATTTTTTTAAAACCCTAAAATTTTCTATATATATATATCAGACAATAAATGCAGCACCGGAACC